ATCATTATACAAACCCACATATTCCTATTATTGTATAAAGTTTCACAGGCCTATTTATTCACTTAACGGGTTGAATTGATTTTCACTACAAGGTACATTTGTTCCCAATTATTTTCTCGAGCCATCAATTGCGTAAAGCAAAGAAAAGGGGAAAAAATCTGGTTCCACCTCCACAAACATATCCTCGGAAATAACTTACAGTGCGACGGCAGATTTGGAGCCCGAGCTCTCGGATCGGGTTGATTTGGAGGTCCGGTTGTTGTAAGGTCGAGCTCGACATCTGAATCTAAGGGTAACGGCGGCGATTCAACGTTGAATCTGAGGTCTGCTGCGATTCGGCGACGGGGAGTCTTGATGTTCGAGATCGACGTCTGAAGGGAATTCTGGCTCCGGCTTTGAGGTCGACCACTTTCGGTTCGCGGGCGGTTGCCTGTTCAGGCCGTGGATGATATTCGGTTCGGCACTCGGGTGGCTTTCGGTTCGTGGATAGTTGTCCGTTTGGCCCATGGATGGTTATCGGTTCGGCCCGCGGCTGGCTTCCCGTTCGGCCCGCGGACGGTTGTCGGTTCGGTTCGACGATGGAGGTTCGGCCCGACTGGGGGTTGTGACCGAGTTCGATCGTGGAGGGACGTGGACCGGATGTAAGATGGAGTTCCTGTTCGGTGACGGAGGCTCGAACCGGTTGTGATGTTAAATTCGAGTTCGGCCCGGCTATAATGGGGTATCCGAGCGGATCGTCTTTTTTGTGAGAAGAAGATGGTGACGTGGTGAATTTGTGTCCAAGGGAAGTATGTTATCCTTTCGCTTGACTTCTGCAACTCTTATCTTTTTTTTATTCTTTTTTTTTACAACCTCAAATGTAAATGATAAATATACTTATACAAATATTGAAGGCATGCATGGCCGCGATTCATCCTATTTTATTTCCTTTGACCTGGAACTTTTAAGCTTGCCCAAATCTTTGTTCTTTCTTTCCTTTTTTTTTAGACAAGGATCAAATATATGATATGTGTATACTTACAGATATATTTTCGTGAAAAAATGGGATGAAGAACTCCGAAAAAAGTGGAGTAAAAATGTTGAGTTTTGTTGACCGGTTGGAGAATTCATGTTCCGGTAGAGATGTAGCTGCTTTTCAGCCCTTCCTCTAGCGCCAATTGTTGATGCTAAAAAATGTCAACAATGTTGTTCGAACTGCGTACTCAAAGATACACTCGATTCGGTCTGCACGAATAGAATTACATGGTGTATTCGGAACGGATACTCGATCTATCGTGACTTTTCTTTATATTAATCGTGAGATAAACATGCATTAAACTCAACCGAAAAATCAGAGGCCAAAAGAATGAAGGTGAAGCTAATTTTTTATTGACAATGTTGGAAGGAAAGAATATATTGCTCCCTCATCCTCTTACGAGATCTTAAATGGATAAGGTGAGATCCTCTTCTTTTTGATAGGATCTCACAAGTACATATCATATCTTTTATATATGGTCCTCAATTATTGTGAAATAAAATAATACAAATGATATTTTAATGTGTTGTACTTTTATTAATCGTAGCCAAATTGGGTACCAACAACACAAATAAGGAAAATGATGAAAATGGCTCAGGATCGAAAGAAAAGTTATGCCGATAGAAGGAGAAGACCGTTAGAATTTGATGTTGGTGACCGAGTGTTCAGAAAAATAGATCCTATGAAAGGCATTATACGATTCGGAAAGAAAGGAAAATTAAGTCCGAGATATATTGGTCCTTATCTCATCACAGAAAGAGTTGGCGAAGTTGCCTATAGACTAGAGTTACCTAACTCTATGTCTCAAGTGCATGATGTCTTCACATCTCTGTTCTAAAGAAGTATATATCGAATCCATCTCATGTTTTAAATGGCGAGCCGAAAGAACTGAAGACTAATTTAAGTTACAAAGAGGTGCCGATAGAAATTCTCAAGCGTAAGGTGAAACAACTACGAAACAAAGAAATCCCGTTAATAAAGTACTGTGGAGAAACCAGTCAATAGAGGAGGGAACATGGGAAAGGGAAGATGAAATGCGAGCAAAATATCCCGAACTCTTCAAGCAAGTGAAATTTTGGAGACAAAATTTTTATAAGGAGTGGAGGATGTAATACCCCACTTCTCGCTAGTCAATAATTCATGCATTTTATGTATTAAAATGCTGAAAATCACATTTCTATTACATGCTTATTTTCAAAAGATTGTGAAAATAAATAAGTATTCATATATTTATATTATTGTAATAAACTTAAACTTATGTATGTATATATATATGTGTGTGTGTGTGTATGTACTTCTTAATTATATATATATATATATATATATATATATATATATATATATTAATATATGTATACATATGAATATAAATATAAGATGTATAAGTTTGCATATAATCTTGTATAACAAATGTTACACGTGATGCATGAGGAATCTATTCAAAAAGGAATCCAATTAATCGATAATTTATAAATATTATCCTATCTATAAGTTATATTCTATCTATAATTTATATATGGTCTAGGTGTTTTGTATATATATAATAAAGATAAAGGATAAGATTGATAAATATATCCATAAATCTAATTTTTTATATAGCATACACGTGTACTTATCAATCTTATCAAGTCACAATTCTATCAAATGAGCTGGTTAACTTAGAGCACCTGCATTGGTCCATTAATTTGGACCATTTAAATGGATTGCTTCCCATTAAACCAATGCATGCATTCATTAATTTGTGGGGCCAGGGTATCATTCAAGAGTGTTAATGGCTCTTTTGAGCATCTTTTAATTTTTTTTATTTTTTTTTTTCAGCTGCTTTTTTTTTATATTGAATGAATGGATATAATGGGTCCCATATTTGTATTTAAATAAATGTATAGGGATGTGGGTGTGTGTTTAAATGGAGAGAGAATTAGTGGAAAGGTGATGTGGAAATGATGTGGAAGAGAGAGAGTGTACCTTTTTTATTAAGGCTATGTTTGGTAAAACTAGCTGATAAGCTAGCTGATAGTTGATAAGCTAGCTTATAGCTTATATGTAATTTTTGAGCTTATAGCTTATAGCTTATGACTTATAGCTGAAAAGCTAGCTTATATGATAAAAGTGTTTGGTAAAATGAGCTGATAAGCTAGCTGAAATAAAAAATTGAACTAGCTTATTACCTAAACAAGCTTATCAAATAAGCTCGAGCTTTTTAAATAAGCTCGTCCTACCAAACGGGGCTATTTAAATACAAGAAGCTTATAAGCTAATCAAATAAGCTATAAGCTAGCTTATTTGATTTACCAAACATACCTTAAATGAATTAGAAAAAAATTAACAAATGTGGATGCCCTTATTCGGCCATAATATGCCACATTTAATAATAATGTAGATTTACTGATATATATATGTTTACGTATACACATAAGGCGGTGCTTCCACTATATAAATAAAGGTTGGGGCTGCAAATGTTAACAAACATAAAGAATAATAAGAATAAATAAAAAATAGAGATATCAAGTAGAGCTTGTTTTTTGAGTATCGTCTTATAAGGTATGTTTAATTACCTTTTCTTGTCTATTTAATATTTTTTTGGATAATGTTTTTATGCTTAGATAATTTATCAAATTTTTTATCTAAACTTATAGATTTTAAATATATTAACAATTTTAAAAATCGGTGTTTGAAGAATGCGAACGGGGCCACGAACAATTATGTTTCAGTGACCCCAAACCCGACGGTCGAACTACCGAAACTTCATAAATCATATATCATTTTAAATCTCTAATTCCTAGGATCATGGTCAATTTGATTTTGATTTCGAAGTGTCGAAAATAGGTAACGAGTCGTGTATATATATATATATACTAGATGGGTTTACGCCGTGCACGCACGGCGGTCTAACACCCGGTGTGAAACTACTGTAAAAATTTGTCATAAGTTGTTGCAGTTTATTTTCTAGCGTATGTTGCATTTGTTCACATATATATTTATTTATGGAAATTGTTTAAGATTTTGCTCGGTTGAATTTCGCCAGTGGTTTATGAGTTGCGAGGTTGTTTAAATCTGTGTATATGCGCATGCATCCCGAAACTGAAATCATGGTCGAAGTTATCTGCTTACGATTTCGTAGAAAGACATTAGAAGCCGCAGTCAGATTCAATCCCACACCACCGGTTTTCACGGACCCCACAGTACCTAAACCACCAATAGAAAATCATTATCACCACTAACAAAGCAAACATTGAATTAGAAGTTTTTCATTGTTTCTTATAACTTCTTTTTCTTATATTCTTGTTTCTAGTGTCAGCAAACTCATGCAACACCTTCCGTTGCGCGTAAATGAATGCTAATAAAAATAATTAAGATAGAGGCTTTAAGCTCAACATAAAGTCACCTAAAACAAATATTTAAATTAGCATCAATACCACAAATTATATCAAAAACATTGCGAATAGAATCGAAAAATAGCGCCCCTTCCGCAGTTGTTGACCATGTCTGCTAAAATAAGAACTCCACATCAGAAAGTATCATAATTTATCATGCTCTTTGCCATGTCTGCTAAAATAACAACTCCACATTCAGAAAATATCATAATTTATCATGAGCATCATCACAGAAAGTTGATATCTTTCAAGATTGCAAAGTATATCCTATTATGAGGTAAACGACGGTACCATTCCCCGGGAGTTTATTCGGGAAAAATAAAAATAAAAGTGGTTCGAAAATCTCTATCAACTGCTATCCAGTTTCGTAAACATGCCCAGTTAATAATAATCTTTAACAGTCTCTTCTGCTTAATAATCTAAAACCAAAGACAAAAAAATAGCACCACCTGAGCAGCTAAATCGTCCCATGAGCAGCTAAACCATCCCATCACACAGACAATTGAACAAACACAACCTAACAACACACAACAATCAAGATGTAAATGGAAAGGATTTTGGGTGTATCAATCTCTGGAAAATGGTAGCTTAACAATTAAGCAAGGGATTGCCTGTGCGAGATTTTTGGAAGAAAACACAACCTCCATCTTTGACCAGACCTGTGAAATTCCAGAAGAAAAAAGCTTTCATACACAAAATACAATAATAGCCTCCAAAAGTTCTCTAATAAACACAATTGAAACCTGTCCGGAACATCGGATCACGACCGTCTCCAACCACTGGCTCTCAAACAGGTAGACTAAGAAAATAAATGCATTTAGGAAGGCAAATGAACACGAATAATCAACATAATTTTAACATACCGGGATTTTAAAAAAGGATTGAAGAAACACATGAAACGTTGGCCAAAAGGAACGGGTGCGACATATGGAACAAACTCTCCAGGTGCACCGGCAGTAACATTTTCAAGCAGACCTGGTCCACAACCATCCTGCACCAGAGATTGATCAACGTGAAGACTTGATTCTGGTTCCTCAATAGCAGAACCAACAACGATTGTAGCCATCATTTCCTGCATCTCCACCCACCAACTGCTGCTCCGCGCTGGCTTGTATTCAACAAGATGAGCCTTCAGAATCCATACCACCAACCAAATAAGTATATACAGCTCGGATACATGAACTGATAAAAGAGTAGACTTCTGGGAAATAAAGACAAGTGTACAAAAATCATTTCACAAATAAGCAGAATAAAGAACCAACAGAAATGAAGAATACTTGTAATCTAAAAAAACAAATTTAGGATTTTATTCTTAAAAAAGGCACACCAAATACCCCACGAAAAAGAAACAATCAAGCAGAGCTGAGTGCACCGACAGTAATGCTCGAAAATGATTAAACGTACAAACCAAACACATTATATAATCTTCACAGCTAAACCATATTAGGCACGATCAACAATCACCCAAACTTTTAAAACATACGTAACTGCTTATAACCCAGAATCTATTGTCAAAACAAAATTAGAAAACCAATGATGCGATCTTCATAATTGGGGTCAGAAATTGGTAAAACTCACGAAAAAAAAAAAAGCAGCCCATGAAAAATCCAAATCCAAAATTGAATCTAGAACAAGAATATACAAAATTATTGAGTGATTGGGAGGCAAAATTAGCAAATAAGACAAAGAGATGTTCTTATTGTCGCAGGACACCATCAACTAAATTTCGATAAAAAATCTTGGAATGAATCTAGTAAGTGTAGACTTGCAGTTCAATTGAAGTAATTAATTCCTATCAAACGTAGAAAGAAAATTTGAGATGAGAAAAAAAATAAAAATAGAATAGACCTAGTCATTGGTACATACATTAACCAAAATTAAGAACATCATACATATGTAAAACATATCATGTTAACATATAAATTATATGCTAGGACATTATGGTTTATTACTTTTAGATGTAAAGGCCTCTGAAACAATAAACTAATTCAATGGTTCCGGTTTTAGTTCAATCTATGAATGAAAAAAAATAATTAAAGAAACAACAGAATGAGAAATGAACTTACATGCATAGTATGTGTCTTTCCACTGCTGGTAACTCCATAAGCATGCATACACAGTTCCTCTAGATCAATTCATATGGTAATTTAATTGTGACTGAAAATTTGGAAATCTAATAAGCAATGCAAATAATTGTTCTAAGGATCTCAACGCTGCCCACTGCTACACCTACACATATACTGGAACATTAATTATTTAGGAAATAACAAAGTCAGGATGCTATATAAAAGTGTTCTTGCCATTAATACCGTCCATCGTAGCCTTCACCACAGGTCGGACAGCACTTCATATGCATCTTGAGTATTGGTGTTAGGCCCAAACACTTTATCTGTCATCCAATAAATCGAAAGTACAAAAGGTGTCAAAACTGCAATCCCGCAAACCGTAGAACAGGTGAGCATATGTGATAGAAGCTTACCAAATCCAAATGGATAGGAAGTCATCGAATTGTACTCATTTTGCACAATTTTGTCACCATCTGCATACCATGCGATCTCATCTCCTCTATTATATTCCTGCAACACAGAAGAACAACATGAACAACTTTAATATCACTCCTCACAATCCTCCCCATAATAACAACTCTAGCTTCAATCTCCCCTAGTTCAGAAGATCCAAAAAATCAACCAAAACCAGATTAATAATTAAGTAAACACCGACATTGAAGGTCGAAAATTAATAGTCACTTAAATGCTACCCCCCGATCTCGAAGCACTATCAATGGGTTCGACGGCTAGCTGGTCGTTAATCGCCGGGTAACTCACCGGCGTCCGGCTGCGAGGCCCTATGTCCTGAACCTTCGTCATGGATCTGGACCATCTCATTTGATGCCGCTGCCGCCGTGGAACGTTGTCGGGTCTCCTTCTCTCTCTCTCTGTTGCCGGCTCGTCACCCCGACGTATCTCCCTCTATCTCTCTGTCCCCGGGTCTTTCCATAGTATGTGTCTTTCCACCACCAGGTCTTAGATCATATGAATATTTTAGTAATTAAAAATACCACTATATGCTCAATTAAAATTATTGAGTACACACATTGTTAAGATAATATCTATAAAATTGACTTACAATATCAGCACCCGTCTGCAGAAGTTGACTCTTGATTGTTGCCAAAGCTGCTGCATACTCTTCATCAGCCTATTCAAAGTTGATTGGAAGTCGAGATTGGAAGCTCAATCAACTGTACAAATCATACAAAACCCACGATCAGAACTTAATCTATATTCCTTAAAAAAGATACAATCTTCTTTGCACCACAATACCTGCACACGGAGTGTGCACGCTGCGGCAGGCACACGTTCCAAAAAATGTCGTCCATCATTGGGAGCTTAAGAATACAAAAAAAATGTTCAAATTCCCAAAAATAAAAACAAGATACCCAAAATTGCTTGGAACAGCAATCTCAAACGGCAGTAAAAGTCACCTGTGCGTGGTCGCGAAACACCACGGCTTATTGCCGTCAAACCAGATGCAGGGGAATGCACAGATCGATCTATTTGTCACGGTCGGGGTTCTTCCTGCACGCTGGGCTGTCGGATTTGGTGGTGAATTGCGTGAACGTTCTCTGAAGCGCTTGCGTTCTCCCAACTGGAATCACTCGAATTCGCCGGTGAGGCGTCGTTCTCCGGCACCATCGCATCTGAACTGCCCATTTTCAGCTGACTGGAGGACGTCGACAACTCCTATACTTTTTCCTCTCGTCTTTTTTTCTATATGTTCACACACAGGCAATGGCAGTGGTGGTGACCCGAAGATAAGCTTTTTCTTTTGGGCTTTTTTCGTGCCTCGTGGCCAAAGAATTTCTTCTTTCAGATAAACGACGGCCGAGGCGAGATGAAGGAGAAAGAAAATGAGAGACGGCTAGGTTTGAGAAAAGGGGAAATTGGGGGAAAAGAAGATTTTGCCTGATTCTTAAGAATTAAGTTACCCTCTCCCTCTCAGCAGAGTCAACCATAATCTGCGGCAATCACATCACTACAGTACGCGGAGAGGAGACAGGCACGCCCGTCGGCCTAGATTTTTCGGGCAAGAAATCAAAGGTGCGACGCCGTTTCGAGAAAAGAAGTAGAATGGCAGAAATGTAATAAAGTGCAGCAAATGGGACACGTGTCGACCAACTAAATTGGCGAAAAGGGACACGTGTCAACGCCACAATGTGCCTAACTTTCCCATATAAGATATAAGGGAGATATATATATATATATATATATATATATATATATATGCATATTTGTCATTTTGTGCAATTCGTTCGGCTTTATATTATTTTGACCTTCAAAAGTTGTTCTTCTAATTTAGGTGTCTTCATAGAATTTATAGTAAAGATCATGGTCTTTCTACAAGAACAAGAATTTCATAAATATCTATTTTTATATAAAAAGTTACGCTTAAAATATGATCATCATGTTAGTCTATTTTATATCAAACATAAACCGCTTGTTTGTCAGTTTGCGGGATATTTCATATATTTATCGTTCTGTTTTGATTTTTAGTGTCTTCATGAAAGTTGTAGTTTTATCTCTTATGTTTCTAAAATTTTAAAAATAAGTGTAAAATACTTTATATATTAAAAGTTATGATTAAAATACGAGCACTACGCTTAGCTAGTTGTAGTCAGATTTGGAGGCAGTTTTACGTCGGTTTTGACTAGTTTTCACTATCCTAATATGCTTGTTTATGTTTTCAGTCTACACATAAATCGTAGGTTTGTGTCTTATAAATATATATGAGAAAGAATAAGTTAAATATGAATTTTGTAATTAAATATTGAACATGGTTGTAAATCTAGAAAGTAATTAATTTATTTATAATTTTTATAATATGTTAATAATTTTATATTATAAATTAATGAACATATTTTGTTATGATTAGATCAAGTTAAACATATGAGTCGATTTCCATCTTTACAAGGCTATAAGCTAAAGACTCGAGGTAAGTACAAGTCCATTCCCAACTACAATGCATAAACAGAGTATTGATATACTCTATTATGTGAAGATTTATGTGCTTATATGATTAATGTTTTTATGTAAATAAATGTTGATATATATTGATATCATTGAAAATAGCATACATTTCATGTTCATGTCCATGCATATCTACAATCAGATAAAATATCTCGTATGCATGATATAATGAGAAAAGAAAAAATATTTTGTTAATTAATTAGCCGCTGCTACGCACTGAGGTCAAGTTCCCCGTGAGACATTGCATAAGGGCGTGTGAGATGTAAATACTTGACTTATTATTATGTTATGCTCAGTGCCCCGTGAGACATTGCTTTAAGGCATGTGAGACGTAAGGACTGAACCATTGCAGTGCTCGTGAGCCATTGCTTTAAGGTGTGGGAGACGACCAGGACTGGGATGTTATGATTATTGATGATATTGAGCTCATTTCCGGTGCCTAGTAGTGAGGTCAAAGGGCCTAGAGAAAGAAATGTTTTTCAGGGAAAGAAATGTTTTAACAACACGAGCGTTTGCATTTCATGTTGTAGTGCATATAAGTTAATGATTTTATTTCTTGACATGCATGACCATAGCTCATATAGTTTATGCATTGTAGGTGATCTTGTTGATATCTGATGATTGACGTGAACAGACTGTTGGATTCGAAGATCTTTGGGGATGTGTACATGGATGATGACCTGTTGGGCCAGCGAGTCAACTTACGCTATGTTTAAATTTTCTTTCAATAAACTCTGATGTATAAAAGTTTCATAAAAAGTGTTTGGATCCTTTTCAGTATGTATAAATAATAATGTCATGTTATGTTTATAAATAAATCTAAGTAAATCTCCAAAATATAAAATATTTAGTAGTAGAAGAGCGCTCGTGACAGTAATGTATGGTTTTAAATTTGTTTTTAAAGTCTCAGACATGTCGAGGAATTTATGGATGAATGTATGTAGTAATATGGGGGTTGACTAGATAGATTTAGTTATTTGTTTAGAAAACATGCATGTGCATCCATTCATTTTGACGACCTCATAATCGAGAAATGAGATTCACTTAGAACGCTATTTAATTTATAAACACCTCATGGGGTTCTTGAATCTTATTGCATGACAAAATAGAGACCGACTATTTATTTCGTTCACCATTAGTTTGGTTTTGACTTATGGAAATTAATGGGTTTTTGAAAAGCCCTTCTCTTGCGAACGTTGAGTATGTAGGGCGACCCACGTAGCATACTTACTCACGACCAAACCATGTTAGGGAAAAGGCCATCTTTAATGAAGAAGTGGCAGAATAATTCAAATGCCTGGACCCAAAAACATGTGAATACAATTGTGTCCGCCAACCTACCGTCAGTGGAGGCAATAATAGAGGGTCTCAACCCTCTATAAAAGGATGCTTGGAGGAAGGAGAAGATATCGTTTATTCTCTTCAGCTTTCTCAATATAATAAAATCTTTGTAATAGATTGTAATAAGCTAACTGTTAAGTGTTTTAATTTTATTTTCCAGAAATTTTATGTGTGTTTATATGTGCGCCTCTATTATGAGAGGCTAAAAGTAATTTCTTCTCTCTAAAGGAGATTACTTATGTAATAAAATCTCTTTGAGTTCATAATAAAAAAGGGGTTTTTGCTTCACAACATGTTGTCGTAATTTTCATCTATCTCCATAATTAAGTATCTGTACGCCTGGAGTAGGAAACGAGGCTAGGTTGTGCTAAGTGGCGTCTGAAGGAGTCGGATAACTTGTAGTTCATCTTCCCATTGGTAAAGTTAGACGGTGGGGAGCCGTCCATGAATCGAGCTAGGGGCACTAATTTTCCGAGTGGTGGAATTGCAACCTATCTCACCCCTAACCATTTCGGTCAAAAAAGGTACGAAAATTATGGAGTTATTTAGTTTGACGGAAGCATGTTGGGCCTGGTATTGTTTATTTTGTTGTGTGAACTCTTTAGAGTAAA